GTTCAAGGCCAGGTTGCACAGGGCTTAAAGCAACCTGGTCTAGTGGAAGGTGTCCCTGCCCATGGCAGGGGGTTGGAACTGGATGAGCTTTAAGGTCCCTTCTAACCCAAACCAGTCTGTGATTCTTAGCAGCTAGATGGAGTTTCTAGCCTGCTGTCCTGTTAGTGCTTCAGGAGGTTACATCCAGTGAATCTGGAACTGAAATCCTTTTGTATTTAACCTGCCATTAGTAATCACATGTCCAAATTTATCTTACAGCTGTGGCTCTCTAAGACGGCCTGGTTTTTGTAGTGACAGGGGCCCAGGGCTGTCAGCATGGAAGGGATGGAGGAGCTGCTGCCAGGCTGCAGTGATTCTCACCCATCTGCTGTACAAATACCATAGGAAGCCCCACAGTACTTAGAGAAGTGGTAAGTGAGGTCCACACTGCCTGTCCAGCAATGCAGGGCCCTGGTCATGCATCCCCATAGGGCACTGGGGTCCAGACATGACCCTGTACCATTATATGCATTGAGAGCAGTCTCTTGTATTGGAACATGGGTTTGTGACCCCTTTGTCCTTTTAATAAATAATGGAAAAGCAACTTGAAAAGACAAAGTTGGGTTCAGCTCCCCAGCAAGTAAATGATTCATCTCCCAGCATTCTCCCTGGGCTGTTGCAAGTCCCTCTCTGTGTGAACTTCAAAAGGAGAGAACTGTCATTTGAGAGAATGATGGACAAAAGCACCAGCATCCCGGGAGTGCAGCTTGATGGTATGCCTATTTTCAGCTGCTAGGCAAAGTGTGTTTATTTTAGCACAAAGGCACTAGTGACTAAGCTTGAAATACTCTGAAATTGGTGCTGGACCTCAAGGTCATCCTGTACATCCCACAACTAAACAGATCAGACAGACGTGTGAGGGGTGAGCAGTACGTAAAAGCTCGGGGCTTATGGGAGAGGAACCAGGGATCGCCATAGCAGGTAAAGATGGTAGGGTTGAAATGCCAAAGAATTTTAATAGTCTGATTTTTTCCAGGTGAGACATTAGCTAAATTCAGGGTGAAGTGAAAGTGAAATATGGTCAGGAGCCATCAGCTTAAAAGCAATCAATCCTGAAAGCAGCAAGCCACGCACGAATGTCCCTGGGTTTATCAAAGGAGATTGTCTCTGTAGTCATCATGATGCATGTATTAAAATGATGCATATTTAAAGTAGGCAGTGATCAATATGTGATTCCTTCTAGGCCATTTAAGTTCTCAGTCCTTCCTCTCGGTGTAATTAAAACAGCATCTATGTGCTGAATCAAAACCTGTGCCAGCCTCTGCAGGCACACAGTGACAAGTACCACTTTGAGAGGGACTTATTTAACTTAAGGCACTGTCCTGTGGCAGGGAGCTCAGCACAGGGCCAAATCTGCTGCCCCTCTGATCTGCGCTGTGGGGCAGGCCCAGTGCTATTTGTTTTACTCATGTGGCTGCAGCCAGAACATGCATTTCCCAGCCCCACTGGGACAGTCCCCAGCCAGCCTGGGGAAGTGAGCTTTTCCTGCATCTTGCTTTCCCATGTGTATGATGAGGAGATGCTTCCTCCCCTCAAAGGGATGCTGCAGAAGTCCATCTTGACGTGGGCAGGGAGAGGCTGAGGGCCGCAGAGTCTGTTTTGCATGCACCACTCCCATGGTGGCTACAGGGCACCTGATGGCTTGTGGTTTTGGCATGTTTCCTCTTCACTTCTGCCAGGGGCTTGAAGGGATTCATGGAGAGGAGCAAAAAATAGTCAAAATGACCACCTCTTCCCTAAAAAAATTAAATCATCCCCCCCTTACCTCAAAGTGCTCTTGGTGTCAGCAGCTCTCCTTCATGGGGCCGTATTACATCAAGAACCAAGTTACAAACCTCTTAGAAAGGGGTTTATCTCTTGACTGAACGAGTAGCCCAGACAGACGCGTCGGCTGTGGCACCTTCTCTGAAGGTCTGTTGCCATCAATCTTAACCTGCTAATGTCATTGGGTTAAAAATACACTGGGTGCAGAATGGCTGGTAAATGCTTTTTTTGTCACAGTGCAAGAATGACATGGTGTCAGCAATCCAAACCTCTTCCCTCCTGCTTGAATGGCTTCCTTTCGGCTCATGCTCCAGCCAGGGCCTTTGCCCAGGGAAGCATCTCCTCATTGCATGACTCCACATGTATGTTTTTCCTCACCACTGCAGGCTTGTCTGTAAGGAGGGACATTGCATACAGGTAGAAAGTCACTTGGGCACCTGCCTGTTGCACTAAAAAGGAGCCCACACTACCATGTCATTTAAAATCAAAGTCAAATGGTTATTGGTTTTCATTTTTAGGAGCCAAGTCCCTATTTAAATCAGCAGGAGATTTTGGGGGTAGTTCATGCTGCATTAGATTCACTTAGGACCACCATTGACAAGGGTGCTGCAAATCCCATATATCACTGTGCTTCTCTTTCCCCTCCTCAGAAACTGGGACTCTGCAACTGCTGATGAGCATGCCAGGCTTATCTGTGCATGGACAGGCACACAGGAGGGCAACTTTATACAAGGGCCTGTAGGGACAGGACAAGGGGGAATGGCTTTAACCTGCCAGAGGGGAGACTGAGATGAGCTCTGAGGCAGAAGTTGTTCCCTGTGAGGGTGCTGAGGTGCTGGCACAGGGTGCCCAGAGAAGCTGTGGCTGCCCCATCCCTGGCAGTGTTCAAGGCCAGGTTGGACGGGGCTTGGAGCAACCTGCTCTAGTGTGAGGTGTCCCTGCCTGTGGCAGGGGGTTGGAACTAGGCGAGCTTTAAGGTCCCTTCCAGCACAAACCAATCTCTGATTCATGATTATCATACAAATACACGCCCTAGGTTATGAGCCACAAATCTAACAAATCCATGATTAGATACTTTTTACTTTGGGCTCCAGGTCCTGTTTTGGTGTGGCAACCTTGGCAAAACATCAGGGTGGGTGAGAGAAATCAGAGTGCGATGCTTTCAGGTTTTCTTCTGTGTCCCATCTGATGTCTGCATTGATGTGAGGATGGGCTGGCACCCTGGGCCATCTCTGACCTCTGGGTAACATGGTTGTCCCTAGCAGGGATTAGAGGAGAATGGGGGACATTGAGTGTGTTGGGGCAGCGTGCTTCTGGCTCCTGCACTGCCTGGTAAACACATGGCTTAGGAATACCTGCAGCTTAAACATGATGCTGCTGCATAGAAACATAGAATCAGTGAGTTTGAAAAAGACCTTTAGGATCATCCAGTCCAACCGTTGCCCAGCACTGCCAAGGCCACCACTGACCCATGTCACTGAGGCCTCGTCTACACGGGGTGTGAACACTTGCAGGGACGGTGACTCCAGCACTGCCCTGGGCAGCCTGTTCCAATGCCTGAGCACCCTCTGGGCAAGGAATTGTTCCTCATCTCCATCTAAACCTCCCCTGGTGCAGCTTGAGGCCGTTTCCTCTTGTCCTGTCACTTGTTCCTTGGGAGAAGAGACCAGCCACCTCCTGGCTCCGTTCTCATTCCAGGGAGCCGTAGAGAGTGATAAGGTGTCCCCTGAGCCTCCTCTTCTCCAGAAGAATGTACAAACCATTCTGCATGTGCAAAGTGGAGCTGGTTCCTTGAGAAACACGCTGCCACATCCTCCACCTGCCGTGCTGCTGAGCCCTGGGCAGGGCACTGAGGGCTGCTGCTGGAATGATGGTCTGGCTGAATTCACTGGCAAAGCTTCAGAGCTTCTCTGGAGCATCTCCGTTTCCCGAGGAGCAGCAGGAGCTGTTTCCCAGCCTGGGAATGCCCTCTGGTGTGCACAAGAGACAGTAAGGATTGTAGTTTATGAAGTGTTTTCACTTGGCTTTCTCCTTTTCTTAAAGCTTTGCAGCCAGCATGGTTATTTGTCAAAGGCCGCCGTAAAGCACCAAGATGTGCCCTCCAGACCCATCTTGTGTGTCGTCAGCATTTATACACCCAGCAGTCAGTGATCACTTTATGATGCATGCCACGTGTAGCATATCAAGCAGGAAGCTTTTGATGTCTCAGTTCCTATTTCCTTACAGCGATGCCTGGCAGGTCCCAAAACCAGCCTGCAGCAGGTCCTGCTCCTGCTGTTCCCAGGCACTGCCTCCAGGCATGTGTTTGGGGCTCTTTGGCCACCCAGCACAAGCAGAGCCACTCCAGTAATAGGCTGCATTCTAACCCCTGGCTGAATAGGGAAGCTGGGCTGCAAAGAGGTAGGAGCAGCTTTTCATGGGCAAACAAAATGTAGCCCTTTCCTCTAAGGAAGGCAGGGTGCTCGGAAGTGTTGGTGGCAGTGTGAGCAGGTGTTGCCATAGTTAGTGAACTGAAAACAGACGGCGAACGTGAGGCACAAACACAAAAGCTGCAGTAAATATAAATTTTCGCTACATGTGAAGTCCTTTCGTGGACAAACTTTGTCATCTTGTCTCTGTTACAACATTCCGGTTTGAGAAAAACCTACTGATTTAAATGGTTTCCAACTTTGGTTGGCAGCTGCAGTGAGAAGGTGCTGGTGGGGAGCAGAGGAGTGTGGTGAATGACCTGGTGTTGCACTCTGCTGTGTGCAGACTGGGTGGTTGGGTATTCCAGTGGCTTACCTGGCACCTTCTAGAGGAACAGCTAGGTGTGACATTCTGAGGGACAGTGTCAAGTATGGATCACACTCTCCTGGGTGTTTTCCAGTGTGAGTACCCTCACTTGCTTCTGCTAGGTTATTCTGTGTTATGATCTGCCAGGAGGTGATCCAGGCTTGCAAAGGTACCTCCTCCTGCCCAGAGGTGGGACTGCTGCCTGGATCCAGCCATCCATGTTCATCAGGCAGTGGACGAGGAGATGAGGTTAGTCAGGCTGGAGGCTGGGAAGACCATGCTGAGGTTGGATGCTCTTCCCCAGCTGTGCAACAGCCATGCTCAAATGTCCTCATCGTTTGATTCCCAGCAGCCAGTTTTTGCTCACGTTTTCTCCCTGCTCTCTGCTGACCTTTCTCTTCTCTCTGTGTTTCTTTCCTCAGGTCGAAAGCTGAGAGGAAAAGCTTTTTATTTTGTCAATGGCAAGGTCTTCTGTGAAGAAGATTTCCTGGTAAGCACACAGCTGACCCTTGTGCTGGTACATCTCAGCCTTCCCGGCAGACACGCAGCCTTTCTGCCTCTCAGCTTTGCCTGGGTTTCACACAGCTCTAGTCCAGCATCCTGCCTGGTCCTTCTGCTCCACCATCTACCCAGGGCCAGCCCCAGCCGTGGTGGCTGCCCACGTGCCCCTGGGAGTGTCCATAAACTGTGTAGATGACGCCCTCAGTGACATGGTTTAGTGGTGGCCTTGGCAGTGCTGGGATAAAGGTTGGACTTGATAATAAAAAGCCGTATACCCTTTTAGCCCTGAGTCCTGATAGATTAAACCTTCATTTAGACTTAGAAAAGTCATATTTGCCTATTTATTGGAGAAGTCTAGGCATTTCTGTGAGAGAGAAGAGAGCTAATCTTTGCTCCTGTCAGGATATTCTACACAGGCTAAAAATGGAAAGATTGGCTAAATGCATCCAACACATTTCATTTTTCGAGTTTGCGTGTCTACTAGATAGGACCAAAACCTCAGACAGGTGATGTGTGATGTTCAAGGTGCGTGTCGTGGACATGACAGGCAGTTCCTAACTGTTAGATCTCAGCAACAGCAACATGTTGCTCTGGTCCAGACTTGATTGTTACCCTAACAGGGAGCTGGGACAATACCATGGACCTTGGAGAAGTTTCAGTAGACTTACAACAGTGAAACCAAAGGAAGATTTGGCCTGTGAGCCTATATATATAGATATTGTGATGTGAATAAGTGATAAACACAAGTAAGTTCCTGGCTTGTAGATTCACGTGGTCAAATAAGCATGTAGGTGTTATTAGTAAATGCTTTATTTGCATGTGCATTTATGGTATTTGTTATACACTTAATTAAACTTAAATTTAGGGCTTGGCAGTAACAGGAACTCATACTCTTTCTGAACACTGGAAGTCTGGTGTCTCCATAGGTTATCTTCTGGGGACCCAGCCATAGCTTCATATACTGAAAAAAGCACTGGAAAGTATAGCTTGTGTAAGGAATGCAGGAAAAGGCCATGCAAATAACACCCCACAATGTGCTATTGCTTATGCTCAACTACCCTTGTGAAATTCTAAGGGAATTCTTTTTTGTCCTTGCAGTATTCTGGTTTCCAGCAGTCAGCTGACAGATGCTTCATTTGTGGTCATTTGATAATGGACATGGTAAGTGATAATTGCTTTAGGAGACAAAAAAATCTGACAGCTTTTTAGAAGATTGTACCAAAAGCAAAATATATTCATTGCCAGTAGTGTCTGTTATCATCTGGGAGTCTGCCCAGTGGGTGACTGGTAGCAGAAAGAAAATCTGCTCATCCTTTTGCTGATCTTTGCAAGGAAGTAAAGCTGTCACCCTGCTGTGTGTGGTGCAGAGACTTTGCCTGTTTTCAGTGCATGTTAAAAGCAGAGCCTTTGGCTCCTTCATCCCCTTTCAGGCTTCCCTGGGCAGCGTACGCATAATCCTGTCGATGTTTCCTGCTTGGAAGTGCTCCCTTGCTGTGGGGCATCAGTGTGGCTCTGCCAAGCCTGTCTTTCCCGTAGTCAACCTGTGGCTTCCTGTGTGCCTTCAGGATGAAGCTACTGTCTTGTTGTCTTGTTTTTTGTGGGTGCTGATGCTCTGGGGAACAGGTTTTACCCAGAACATGTGATCTGCCTGAGTCCTTGCAAACTCTTCAGGAGGTGCATGGACATCCTGCTGAAGCAGGCAGCTTTCATTAGCCTACAACAGGTACCATCCATTCAACATGTACACAGAGTGGGTCATGGCTCAGCACTGCTCTTTAGCCAGCACTGGGCAGCATTCAGCTGTGATGTGAGTGATTCAGGGGGAGAGAAATCCATGATTGTGTAACTGGTGGTGTAAAACTACAACTGAGGCAAAGAAAGGAGGAATTCGTGGGTGGTCATTCACAGCATGCCTCCCAGGGTGTCTGACTCTTATCCTTCATTATCTTTGCTTGCCTGCTTACACTGGAAACCATTACAATTGGAAAAGCTATTTAATACTCCAAAGTCTGATCACTCAGCTGATGGACCATGGTATTCCAGGTAGTACTTGCTGCCCAAAGCCAGCAGGTGAATTGCAGCTGTTGATTTCAACAGTTTCCATAGACTCTGTAAATTAGGAAGCCAGGCAAAGCTCTTTTTGATATCTAAGGAACCATGAAAACCTAGCAATAGTATTTGTTTCAGCCTCTCACATAGAATATAAAGATGTATTTCCTTTTGTTGGCCTGGTATGTCTTGCCTTGTGATCCTGCTAAGTATTCTCCACCTGTTGGCTTTGGAAATTATTTTCTTTCCTTTAAATTCTATCACTTTTGTCCTTTGCAATGCTGAATACCTTGACTGAGACTCTAAATTGTTTTCTTACCCATGCTAATAATTCCTTTCACTGGAACCAGGTGATATATGCTGGTTCCAGCTGCCATTTCCATCCTTCTTAACTCATGTTTTAGATGAGGTGCCTGAAAAAAGACATAGCTCTGCTGATGAATATGCAGCATTGCCTGGTATAAAGCTGTGTGTTTGTTATTTTCACCTTTACTGGCTGTTCACATGCATTTTTCCTGTCTCTTGGTTTGTTGCAGATCCTGCAGGCTCTAGGGAAGTCATATCATCCAGGCTGCTTCCGATGTGTGGTCTGCAATGAGTGTCTGGATGGTGTGCCATTCACTGTAGACTCTGAAAACAAAATCTACTGTGTCAGAGATTACCACAAGTAAGGACAAAATAAATGGCAGAGATGCTCCCATCAACAAGCCTCTGATTCAGCTTTTCAGCTAGTTAGGAAGTGTGGATTAGTAAAATAGGCACAAGTTAGAAGGTACAAGTTTGAGGACAGGGCTAGACTCTAGAAATTCCAGGCGTCTCTCTTCTTGTCCTGCCATTTACTCCTGTGTAACTCTGAGGAAGCCATTTAGCCCCTGGGCCTGAGCTGCCCCTTCTGCAGAGCAGAGATAGTGAGAAATAGTGGTCATGAAGTGTTCAGTGATGTCAGAAGTTAGTCTGCTCTAAAGTAAGACTGTGAATGCCTGTGGAAATCAATGTGAGTTACTTTGAGTAGCTGCAGGGCTGAGTTTGACTTTAAAGAATCACTGCTGACCCTGCA